CTTCAAGGTTCACGGTCTAGGGGTTTAGGGTTTAAGCTTTAGGGGTCTAGGAGTCTAGGGATTTAGGTTTTAGGGGCTTAGGGTTTAGGGGAGTTGTAGGATGGGATTTCAGGGCAATGCCGCATTACCTAAACATATCACTGCCGCAACCGACCTATCTCAACTTGCTGGACTCGCTTTTCAGAGGTTGTCCTCGGAACATGCCTGCAGCATAGTAGTGTCTCCACGTTGCTGAAAAAAAAGCCTCAACCCCGCATACCACAGAACATTACTCTAAGCATTTTTGACTTAGCCAAATGACTTCCCATGCCTGAAGGACCACGTTAAAAGGCCTTAGTAGGTACATGAGGTTTAGGGTTTAGGATTTAGGGATAGTAGGAAGGTATCCAAGGGACATTTTAGGGTTCAGGGATAGTAGGTATATCTACACCCTAAACCCGTGACTGCCACAGGGATCCATTCCTCCTTCCCTATGCTACCGCCAGTGAGCTTCGCTATTAGTCCTCAATCCCAATTGATACCAACTCCTAAATTCAGAACAACTCAAGACTTAAACCCTGAAACACGAAAGGGCTTACATGTAAACCACTATGTAATCCCAGTGCGCACATCATGTTCGATGTCCCTCCCATGTGATTCTCCAGTAACGGGGTAAAAAGACCTGAACCCTAAGCCCCAAATAGTAGCTTCCATGTTATTTTCCATTGTCTTGTCCATTTGTTTTTCATTTACAGCTGTAGGGTGGGAAGTCCCCCTCATATAACCTCTCCTACACCCTAAGCCCTAAGCCCTACAACCTTCTTAACGGGAGCCGATATGGGAGGTCCAGGAGTTGACCTTCACAGACTGCGTGGCACTTGCTGATGCTCTTTGTGCCCTCGTTGAGCTGCTGTGAAAACGCGGGAAAGACATCCAACCCTGGGGGTCCAGCTACCTCAATATGGAGGTTGCTGAAAAGAAGGGGTACCCTTGCGGTCCCTGTAATAAGATTATAGAGTTGTGGGGTATTCATTGGGGTTCTCCCGTTTCTGGGATACTGCTATAGTTTGGGTTTCAGGGCACCCTGTGTTTGAGTGCTTGGAGCCTGAGGGCAAGAGCCACGACTTTGTTGACGCGCCGCCCGGACTCGAAGGAGGATCATCCCTGTCCTGCGACGAGGTGACACTTCCCAGGTCCACACCTAAAGGAGGATTTAGGGTTTAGGGTTTGGGGTTCAGGCGCCACTTGGATTGGCAAATTGGGCCCAGGCAAGGAGCAGAATGACCGCCACCAGGAGTACGTACAATATGCACATCCATCAATACAGGCACTTCCATACTCATGCTGACGCTTGGTAGTCCCCATAGATAGGGGGACCCCAAATATAGACCCCAATAGGGGCCCGCAACAAAGGGACTCCCAATTCCCCAAACCCTATATGTCGCTACATACCCTTATGTAACCCCTATATAGCTCCTATATCTCTAATTAAAGGGACCCCCAACCCACCCTAAACCTTGAACCCTAAACATTTAGGGGGATCCCACTTATTCACTGTGCCCGCCCTTCAAGTGCAGCTCCAACCTGCCGCTACCACGTACCCAGAGGGTCCAAGTAGCCAATAATTAGGGTCCTTTACGGGGGATATAGAAGGGTGTATAGGGCTATTTAGGGTTTAGGTTCCAAGTAAGCCATGATTAGGTACTTGGTTTGCAGGTAATAGTGATTGTTGTACAGGTTCTGGGTAAGTAAATGACTTATTAGGTACTTGGACCCTTAGGGATAACTGCCCCTGGCAAAGTCCCAAAACCCTAAACCCCAAAACCCTAAACCCTAAACCCCTAAACCCTAAACCCCAAAACCCTAAACCCCGAAACCCAAAACTCGGAACGCTTCAACCATGAGGTTCTGGGGTTCCAAAAAGTAGGGGTACCTTTTAAAGGGGGTTGTAGGGGCTATGTAAAAGGTATATGGGGGCATATAGGGTTTAGAGTTCTCTGTAAACCGTTCTGCCCTTCTAAACCCCCGCTAAACTGCATTTTGTAGATGATTCTCCATTATTGTCCCCAAGCTACACATACATGTATGCGTCCCCATTCATCCCCATATGAGCTGCTGTCAGGATTACCCCCAGGGACAAAGTTTCTTAAAAAACATATATTTGCCCCAAACCTGTGCTATAATGGTATTATTGCACAAAACTCCAGTACCTAATTATTGGGTTCTTGGACCTTCTGGTTCGAGACCAATAAGGGTGGAGATAGGGGTGCCCTTTGGTAGTTTAATATGGTCCCTCACATATTTCCTGAATAGGAAAACATGCCCACTAACTACATGGACATATTGCCTGTAGCTAGTATATCCTAAAGTTTCAAGGCATCCCAGATATTACCTATAAACCTGAACTTTCAACCCTCTACGCTGCACTGTAAACATCCTAAATCAGCCAGCCGAATCCTCAAACCTGAATCCCCAAACCCTCAGCCCTAAACCCTCAACCCTAGACCCTCATGTCTGAACCCTCAGCCTTTAATCCTATTCCGTGATCCATAAACCCTAAAGCTTCAACCCCAGTCCCTAAACCCTAATCCCTAAATCCCGTGCCCTCAACCCTAATTCTCCATCCCTAAACCCCAAACCTAACCCTTAAACCCTAATCCCCTAAGCCTAATGCCGAATCACCTATCCCGAAGCGCAACACATCACTAAACCCTCATCACTAAACCCTCAACCCTAAATCCTAATCCCTAAGCACTCAACCCTAAACCCCAATCCCTAAACCTTAGTCCCCCATCCCTAAACCCTAAACCCCCATCCCTGAGCAATTCACAGGTTCCTGCTTAAGCTGGCGCTGCAACAGCAGGGAGATCCCTTGGCTGAGGCCAGAAGTCCTCTAAGACTTCCTTAGGACGAGGGTTAGGTATTTACGGTTAGGCCCTAAACCCTAAACTGTGTCAGGTTCAGAGTCTTGTTGTGGTTTGGTTAAGGGTTTCGCGTTCGCAGTTGGGGTTTAGGGATCAGGGTTCGGGCTCAGGGTTATGGTTCAGGTCGAGGGTGGCCTGGAGTAGTTTAGGGGTTGATGGACAATATTCTGCGTGATCTTAGCTCCCAAGCCCTAAACCCTCAAGTTCATTTTGGTGCCCCAGTTCCCACGGTGAAATCATGGAGGATTGTGGCCATGAACCGTATGCCCGGGGAAGTCTGAGACGCGGTTCAGGGTTTAGGGTTTAGGTGGGAATCTGCAGAGGGATGCGGTTTAGGGCCTAGGGTTTAGGATAAACTTGGGTATATATGTGTATATATGTTGGCCTTCGATAGGGACTGCCTAGAACGTCTTTAAGCCAGAATAATTGCCCGTATGGTCATAGGGTTCTTGTCTCACTATGGTACAGGGTGCCTCAGATACACCTCAAGTTGATGTTGGTAATCATTGAGGCCCATACAGTAGGGAGGCTTTGGGCACTCCTTTGAGATTAGCTTGCCCCAGATTTTTGACGGTAGTACCTGAACCCTTAAAGGTATGTGTAATGATGGCCTTTTGTGCTATTTTTAGGTTTTGGGTGCCATTATTTTACCTACTTTTGAGGTCCAGGTAAGCAAGGTATGCCAGCGGTCATGGCATAGCATCGATATCCAAAAGAGTTTCTATATCATTTTCCATGTTCTGTGCCATTTGTTTCTCCATGATTGGGGAAACCCTGGACCCTGTAAATCCTTGTATGCCCCTCAACCCTAAGCCCTAAACCCTAAACCCCTACTCCCTAAACCCCTAATCCTAAATCCCTAATCCCTAAACCCCTAATCCCTAAACCCTTTATCCCTA